TTTTTTTTTAACTCTAATTTTAACTTAATATATCTATTATACGATATCTGTCAAGGCTAATTTCATTTGATTTAATTTATTCACTGTCAATTTTTTACCCTAAATGATCTCTCAATATTCCCTCATTCTCATATTCTCAGTCGCACAAACCATGTAATCTGCTCTCATAGCAGTCCTTGCGCACACGACGATGGTTCGTCATTATGTGTTACAAATTTTACTTGTTTTTCTTTTTGCGAGCACACAAAATACGGGAATATCCTTAGTGTAACTGAATTCGTTGTTGCGAGCACTTGCTCATAGCACGACGATCACCTGTTTGCAACTGATCGCACTTCGTCCTGTGCAGTCAGTTTTAACCTGGAAGCTGTCTACCTGAGCTGCAAGGGCTCTAAACTGTAGCAGCCATTGGTCAGCAAGAGAAACAGGTAACAAGCCAATTGACTTTTTGGCCATGTTACCGATTTTCCATTGATCCTCAATGGCAAACGGAAGTAATGGAAGTATTGTCCAAGTGTGTGTGTCTGTGTGTGTGTGTGTGCAACAGGTTGACAGCATTTTTGACTTTTATACATAATGTACAAAAACCTATTTTTGCCAATACCAACAGAGCCCTTAGACAGCTCTCTCTCTCTCTCTCTCTCTGTGTGTGTGTGTGTGTGAGTGAAGAGTTTTTCCATTCTTTTTTTGTTGGCCAAAATTTTGTACGCTGCCTTCTTTGCCATTGATAAAATAGTTTGGAACGTGATTTTGGCGCAGTTTTTGGCAAATATGCAGCGCATAGCTCCTGCTGCTCTACACCCACACACACACACATATATATATACAGATACTTATACATATATACATGTGTATATTTTGGCTATTTAGCAGCAGGAATTGCAAGAATTCGCACGTAATTACAAGTTTATTGACATAGGTCACGTAGCCGCAAGAGTCACAAAGCCCTAACCTGAATCAAACAAATATATATACGTATATGTATATCTGTGTCTTTGCATGTCTGCTGAAAGTCTGGCATGATAAACAATTTTGGCTTATGGCAAATCAATTTATGCCAGGCTAACCTTAATGTGAGGAGAGCAAAACAAAAAACAAAAAAAAAGGGAACTCTAAGTAAATGGCACATTTGTCAAAAGTCGCTCAGCTGCTGGGTGTGAGCTCGGATGCTGTTCCGGAGTCTGTGCACCCGCCACGCTCACGCGAGGTATGTATGTAAGTATATACAGTGCTACGGGAGCAACAGATTTGCTAAATGATCATAATCCTAAAAGAGCTGCTCGCCGCTAATCCGCAACTCAAATGTGACAACATGCGCGTCTGAAGTGCCGCCGAGGTCGTTCCGTATCGTATCCGGCGTATGCTGCCGTTCCTGCTGCTTCTTCTTCTTCTTCTTCTTCTTGTTCTACTAGTGCCGCGACAGGGAAGTTTCATCTGAATTGCCATTGTATCGCGGCTAGCAGTTAGCTAATGATAGTTTATGTTCCCTAAGTGGGTCACAATGGCAAAGGATACGCACACATATACAGATATAAGTACACACAGCTCATAGACTCCATATCTGGCATCGAGAATATATATGCACATATTTTTGCCATAGCCATAAAAACGAGCCGAAATTAGACAAATTCCCATAAAGCACAGAATCAAATAGCTTTGAAAATTAATAAACATGAATACATAAATTTTTATATTTGCGCCAGTTGGAGCACATTAAATATGTACAATAATATGAATTGATTGGAAGATTGAGGCGAAAAGTTTTCTTCACCCGCGACACTTATCAAACGATACTCTTATTGATTATTCAATAGCTTGTGGGAAACAATAAAGATATAAATAATTAATAAAATGTAACTATAAGAAATATAAACCAAAGTAATTATGAATAATAATATTTAGAAGAAATAAAAGTATTTATAAATCTAACTATATTAAAAACTAAAATTCTCGCAAGTCTCTGAAATATTTTGTTTTGATATTTTTAATAGCTTCCACTTAACGGAAAACTGAAAAGAAAAGTTGTTAAAAATGCATTACAACTTTAACCACTTTTTAGCCATATTCTAAGAGAGTATAAATGTGCTTTTAAGACGCAGAACCTAACAACATAAAAACATACATATTTATTACATTAAAAACAATTTTTTTTTAATAAAAGTAAAAAAAAAGTAAAAAGCAAATAAAAATGTAGATCACAAGAAATCCAACTTTTTTACAAATTATGACAAATTACATTTTTCTATTTAATGTAATTTTTATAGTCACAAATGTTTTATTTAATTTAACTCGATTTATTTTCTATACTTTCAATATTTTTTTTAACAGTCTTTTCTTTCAAGTTATATATTTTTACTTGAAACATAAAAAACTACATACATATATATTTTTCAACCAAAATTTACTTATTTAAATAATAAAATATATATTTTTCTTAATTTTTTTTTTTGTAACTTATATATTTTGTATGCTTTAAAATAGCTGTGCAAGTTTATCTCAAATTTATTAAATTCTTCACACACTTGATTCAATTCAAATTTTTTCCAGTACTTTCTACGGCAATTAGAAACTCTCTGAAAAACATTGTGGCCTCTACGGCATAGCTAGTCACACTTGACTACAAAGCTATGGCACTCCTTACCAGGAAAGAGCATTGAAATAACAAACAGAGATGCGAACTTGCGGAGCTGCTGCTTAGCCATAGCTTGACCTTAATCTGGTTAAAGGCAAATGCCTGAAGACAAAATAAATAGAAATGTTTTAAAAATAAATCCGAACACAAATGTGCGCACTGAACTTGAAATGGCAAATAGGGAAAGAGTTAGAGCAAGCAAGAGAGAGTGAGTGAGAGAGAGAGAGAGAGAGTAACGTAGGTAAAAGCAATGCAAAAACTGATTGACAACGATTCCCACGCTGCCAAAAAGTCTTAAAATACATAGACTAAATATATATAGATTGTGTATATGCTATGTATGTGCGTGTGTAGTAAAAGCAGCCATAAAGCAATTAACGGCACATTTGGAATGCTGCTGCGCCGTGCCGCTTCTAATGTGGGTGTTGCGGCTGCGCACTGCATGCGGCATGCGACAGGTAATGTGCCACGACGAACCTAACACTACACTCACCATATATGTATATACACATATATAGAGAGAGAGATATTTGCTAAAAATCTGTATGAAGTCTAAGCAATTCCCACGCTCACGTCGGACGGGTATTTCCAATGGACCAATTGATAAAGCGGGAAAAAACGCGCAGCACATGCAAAGGGCATTGCCCATTAAGTGTGAGAAACTCAGCGACTGATACGACTTTTCAGGTAGAGTATATGCACAGATTCCCACACAGCAGCAGCAGCAGCAGCAGCAGCAGCACCACCAACATCAGCAGCAGGTCCTGCATATCCTGCGCTATCAGGTGATGGAAAATTCAACATACGTTTTAAATGTGCGTAACATATGACATTGCCATAAAGGATAACGGATAAGACATATATACAGTGCCTGCTGCCAGTGTTTGCCAATGCCAAACTGAATCAACCCCAAACCAACAAGCAACCCAAAACACCCTTCCCCCCCGCAACTCACCCACACACTTGCGTTTTTCTGTTGTTTTTTCCAACGCACATGAAGTTTTATCTTGAAACAACAGCCAGCATCCCATCAGAGTGTGCGGGATGAGGTGGGCGGCGGGAGGGGGAGGGAGTGGAGGGGTTTTTGGGCGCGTGTGAGCTGCGCAAAAATTTTAATGCTCGGGCCGCGCTTAATTTTCGGATTATAACCCGTAAAGTAAACAGCGAACGCATTGTCCTTAGCCAGCCAGCAGCAGCAGCAGCAGCAGGAACAGGAGCAGCAGGAGCAGCAGCTAGCAGCCAGGACGACTGCACATTAACCCAATTTCAATATGCTTTTTGATTTGTTTGCCCGCCACTTTAACATTATCAAACAGCGGTTTATGGCGGGTCGCGCGGGGGCGCCACAGTGGGCGTGCCGGCCGGGGTGTGTACGTTTTAATTGCCAGCAATAACAAGAAACGACGGCCATAACAATAACAACAGCAACAACAACAATAACATCGAGGCGTTTGCATTTGGTTTAAGTTTGCCCAAATCCCAAATTCAAATCCGCTAATTGCAACGAGTTTTTGTTGTAGTTTGGGTTTAGGGCATTACAGTTAGCCCCCTTTACCCCTCCCCCACCATCACTCTGAAATTTGGTTTTAAGAATGGCGTATTGATGCGCATAATTTTGTCATATATATAAGCCTTGAATATATATGTATTGTATATATATTTGATCTATAAGGCGTTCGTATATATAAAGAGTTTGTTTATGTATCCTTGCAGGGCTTTAAAAGGGTTTTCCTGGTATTTTCTGTGCCAATAAGACTTATAAAACTTTTGTCTGCTTTTCAGGAATTTTCTGCTTAGAATTTAAAGTGATTTTTCCTATTTAACGGCTAAATCATTTTATTTTATTCACTCTAGGCTAAGCAACTTCAAATGCCGTAATTAAATAATACATAAGAAAACTCTGTCAACTTAATATAAATTCAATTAAAAATGCTAAAAGTAATTGAAAAAGCTTTAAAAAATTTCAGACCAGAAAATCAAAGTTCTATTTTGTCATCAATGCAGGCGAACTAATGCAAGTAAATAATGCGCCTAGAAACATATTGGCAAATTCTAGCAAAGCTGGCTAAATGCGGCATTTGGCAATGGGAATAG